GGGACACGGAGCGGGGCCGGGGGCGGAGGGTCCGGGGCCGGCGGGGCCCCCTTGGTGCGAGGGCAGCACCGGAGCCGCCCCGCGAGAGCCGGGGCCGGGCACGGGCCCTTCGCCGCCCGCTCCGTGGGTTCCAGCGCCCCCCCCCCCGACCCCTCCTGAGGGCCCCAGAGCTCCCGCCCGCCCTTCCCCACAGCCGCCCCCAGGGCACGGCCCCGCTACCTCCGAATCCCGGCCGGAGCCTGTTGTCGTAGCCGTCCAACAACTTGTCGAGGATCCGGGTGATGTTTTCCGAGTACAGGTCCGCTCCGTCGCCTTGGTCCCCCAGCGCTTTCCCCAGGCTGCGGGGAGAGGTGAGTCCCGCATCACCCTCCCGCTGTGGGGCCCCGGGGCAGGGCCGGGGGCTCGGCCCGGGTCCGGAGGGAGCCGTCGGGGCCGGTGTCACTCACCTGACGGCGACAGAGGCCGAGGCGATGAGCAGAGCCATGCCGTGCCATGCCATCCCGCAGGGCTGTGCGGGGCCGCCCCGGTGCCCCAGGCCCGTCAGCTGGAGCTCATGGTCCCTGCGGGAGCGGGCGGGCTGTGGCTCAGCCCCGGGCTGGCCCGGCTGTGCCCGGTGCGGGCAGTGCGGGCAGTGCGGGCAGTGCGGGCAGTGCGGGCAGTGCGGGCAGTGTGGGCAGTGCGGGCAGTGCGGGCAGTGCGGGCAGTGTGGGCAGTGCGGGCAGTGTGGGCTGTCCGGGCTGTCCGGGCTGTCCGGGCTGCGCTGTCCGTGCGTGTCCCGCCGGGCGGGCTCCGCTCACTGCTCCGGGGCGGGAATTAGGGTTTGGAGGGACGGTGCGCGGTCGGAGAGCAGTGACAATAATCGAATAAGGCATTAGGGGAGATTAAAAGGAAGAAATCCACTGCTAGTTTTGGCATGGAATTAGCAGGGACCCGTTAGGAAATCTGGAAAAGCGCTGGCATCTTGCTGATAGAGATTATGTTAGAAATGGCCTCAGCTTTTATTATGTTTATGGTTCACAGGGAGATTATTATGCAGCTTCTGCATCATTAAAACTTGGGGGGGGGGGAGGGCCTACAATATACTGGGGTTTTTAACCTTTCTCAACACTTTTCCTCTTCAGTTCTTCAGAACTGTACAAAGGTCTTGAGTATCTAAACATTAATCTTTGAAGATTGAACAGTAAAAGTTGGTCCTGGTTCAGGTTTCTGGATTGGTTTGGGATTTTTTTTTTTTTTTAATACTAAGCTGTTTTGAAGGGTTATAGATGCAGATTTCACTCAGACTTTAAACCAAGGCATTACTAGGACTTTTGTTGGAACTGGAGCTCCTTACTTTTAAACCACTGGGATTATATATCATTACTAATTTTGTCCTGATAAGTAGTGACTGGATCATTACTGTCCCCTCCTTCAGTAAGTGTGTTAACATAGTCAGCCCTAAAGGAAAAAAAGTTCAGTCAGCTCCAGCTTTTTCTGAGGCCTTATTACTTCTCACAGAGCCACTGACTGACGTAGCACCCGGGTCATCTAGATACACTCTAAACAAATTGGGTCAGTTTTCTTTCCTCATGGTAATACAGATGAACAAATAAACACACCAAAAAAAATTAACTGTTTTCATAAAATTTTGTTGCATAAACCGCATTTGCATTAGCAGCTTCTAAGCAAATATATTTAATTTTCAGGAAATGGAATGCAAGGATTTGCATGAAACTGAGAGAACCATGTAACTTATTCAGCAGTAAGACTAGATTAAGAGCAACACTGGGGTTTGGTGCTCAAGTTTTGTGTTTAAGAGAGACTGTGATGCTACAAAAGCAAGAGAATACAAGAATGTAATTAAAAGTACAAGATACCCTCTGTGATTGAGTCCCTTTCCCTGTTGTCATGGGCAGTAGTGTCATATAATCCACTTAGAGCTCCGGCTCTGCCTCTGGACATTGAGAACCAGAATTCCTGAGAAGCCCTGGAAATGCTGTGTGAATGCACCACAGGTCTCTGTGAATCCATCATGGGCTAGTGTAGCTCAGGCTTTTTGCTGCTACTCAGAACCATTTATCTGCATTCATTTATTCACAGACAATACCACTGCATCTGTGAAAAATCAAAGGCTTGTATGAACTACTAGGTGGAACGGGGAAAAGAAGAAAAGGGAATTCAACAAATCAGAACCTTCTGAGGGTTATGTTCCTGCTCTGATACTGATTAAAATCTACCAGTTTGAAACTTTACCCCATTTTTCAAATATGTTTGATCTTACTGACATGTTTGAGTCTTTTCTGTGCATCACTCTTCTCAGAATATTAAAACTGTACTTAGTGTGTAAACACCAGTAAGACCCATTTTTTGTAAATATGTTTCCATTATTGTAAATATGTAAATGCATTTCAAAGTTTAGGGATTTTTTTCCCACTGGATCACTAATTATTTCTATGAGTTCTGTGTTCTGTGTCTTACTTTATATGCCCTCCTGGAATAATGTCCTTTTCCTTTTTGAATGAAAGGAAAAAGAAGTCTTGGCAAAATATTAGGAAGACTATTTGAATTTCCTTCACAAAATGTGCAAGAGGAGCTTTTATAAAATTGAGCATATTCTGTGTCCCATCAGCATCCCCCAACTTAATAGCACACATCCAATTTGTGTTCTTTTAAAAGGTTTATTTTAGCAGCTTCTTTTAGTAAGCATCTCCTGAGTATTAAAAGGCCAGTGCTACAGGGAGCCACCCAGTCATTTCTTTTACTTCACTTCTCTTTGTTGTAAATTAGAGAAGTCACATTTTCTGTTGTTGATCATATAATTGACAACTGCCTTTTGTCCAACAGCACCCTGTTCCAAGTTAGACTCGTGTTGTGTAAAAAGATGAACAAGACAATCTGTCTTGTTCAACGAAGAGACTGGGATGAGGCAGACAAATAGAATTTGCCTCCCTCCCTCCTTTGGAAATTGGGGGAGATGAATAATTTGCTTTTTGGAGCCTGTTGGATGTGAACAGCAGCAGCTGTTGTGGGGTGATCTCTGCACCCCCTTGGCTGTCCCTTATGATCTCACCTCTGAGCCCAGCCCAGCAATCCTGGCACAGCAGCACAGACCTGTGATGGCAGAGCAGGAAACCTGGGCAGGACTGCAGGCTTTGAACAAGTCCCATGATTTCAGCCTGGGATTTCCCTGCAGGAAAATGACACGATCAAATTCTTTTTAAAGAATTTGCAGGAAGAGTCAGAGACAGGTAAAAAAATAAATCTCTAAGCCATTCAGATGATTGGAGCCTGCCTTCCAAAATGCTCAAAGTAGCCTTTGCGTGGTAAAGAAGGGGCTTTGCTGTCTGGCATAGAGCTAGATGGTTTCATGAGCTGAAATAGGCTTTGGACAGATTGTTAAATCTAATTTATCTTGAAATTTCAGTAAATGTTTTCTTTCTGTGGATTTGAAACCTTCAAGAGTGAAACAGAGATACTCCCTTTCTCAGCAGTTTTGAAATTCTTTGCACCAAGGAGTTGTGTACTCTTGTATTTGTTTTCTATTTATGAAGTGAAATGCTCGCACTATCAAATACACAAATTTCTCTATGAAGATCAAACCATCAAATTCTAATGAGTCTGTGGTTACCAAGACAGTTTGAAAATAAACACAGCTGAGAAAATTAGCTGGAAAACAATTTTATAAGTGATCTGAGCAAACTTTAAAGAGGGATAGTGATCACGAAGACAAGAAGAGAAGTTTCTTGGGAGACAAAGCTCCCATGAGAATAATGAACATGCTTACCTTATAAAAGGCTTGTCAGCAACATATGCTTTGGGCATTTAAGCAAACAAAGTTTGGAAATTTGCTGAGAAAGTGGCATGAACTGGACAACAGGCTTGAAATAAGTGAATGGCAAATTGAGAAGTGTGGTGGCAAGGTTACACTTTCCAGCTGTTAATGTCATCACCTTGTAGGATGTCATTAGCACTGGGATGAAAGATGATATTTCTCATTCACTTAGGAATACCACTGCTGAAATTAGATGTTTTGCAACTGCTGAAAACATCTTGAAAAATGTGTTTGTTTTCTTCTAGAATTTTGAAATTAAAATAGTCTGAAGTTTCTGTGGCAACTTGCTACAGTTGAAATATGACAAATTTGGTACAAAGGCTACAAGACTGCAATTGAGTTTCTGATACTTGAAGTTAATGATACTTGTCTGTTCAGTCCCTGACAAAGAATGTGCCCCCCATTTCTTTTTCTTCAGCATCTACCTACTAGAAAAGAAGAAATAAGCTCTTATGATGTGGATGTGATTACTAAATAAATTGAAGGATCACAAAGAAACTGACTTTTAAAGCTGCCTTTAATTTGTGGGAAAAAATGGATTTCAAGGTTTTGTTTGCTTTTTATTTTAAATTGCTTTATTTCCCAATGAATTAATTCATTTTGTAGGTGATATATGGCAAAGATATAAGTAAAATAGTTTTATCACTGTACAATTCTGTCTAAAAGAAATGCATGCCAGATTGCTATTCCCTCATGCTCATCTTTCTGTCAAAGGACAGTGGTTACCCTGTTTACCCTTTCAGTGTATTTCCTCTGCCTTCCAAAATCTTCAGGGGGAATGGATGCACATATTGCTGCCTGTGCTGCTCCCCCCTGCCACTGAGAGTTCCGAGTGGGGATGAGTCATCTGCTCCCAGATTGTCCTGTTGGTACCTGGCAGCACAGGCAGCTGGCACAGGGCAGCTCAGACTGAGGGAACACACTCTGCAAAGATGCTTTTGTGCTGCTCATTCAGTCCTGAACAGAGCTGGGCACAGGGAAGGAGTGTTTTCTAATGGATACGTACAAGTTGGGGTTATGCATCTGCAAACACATATACAAACATACATTCTGATTTTTCATATTAAAGGCCTAAACATTTAAGCCTGTATGCACAGGAGATTGAGCCCGAGTTTGCTTTTATGTCCAAGAAAATCAAAGGTCTGAAGAGACAGAGACCATAACATTTCAAATCTCAGGTTGATTCTTAGACATTATTCAGTGTGCAGTCTAGCATAAACACATCAGTAATGGAAAGAAGCTTGATTTTGGCAGATCTACTGGGCAGAAAATGAAACAAATTCTATAGTAAACATTTTTGAAGGATATGGGACAGACTGCTGTTCAGTTGTTAGTACTTGTTCCTACCTACCTGCAGGCATATAAATACCATTGCAAAGTACAGATGGAACTGGCTGAGCTCACCTGTACAGATCAATACAAGTATTGTGTGGTTTGTTGTTTTTCTCAGTGCTTTCTACGTGTGTCATAAGGATTAAAGCTTTCTGGGAAATCATCTGTGAATCTTTCTGTGAAAGCTGAGGGCTCTCTCTAGATGCTTGTTGAGGCATCTACAAATAATCTAAACCAAACTGAAGCCAAAAGGCTCCTTCCTGGCTGTGCAGGGGGGAGACAGCACCAACCAAAGGTGGTAGGAACCACAGAGGAGTGAGCTGTGTAACTGCCCCTTGCCCCAGCACTGCAAAGACCTTTTATTTTGCTGGCATTTTTGCCCCCTGCCATTCCAACCACCTTTCAATAGTGAACTGCAGAGGGAAGGAATCAGAGAGTGATTTTTAACAGGCTATTTTTA